TTTTTATCATGCGGTATCATGCGCATTTTATATATCATGCGCATTTTATTATAAAATGCGCATTTTACCCATCTCTAAACCCGCCACCTGGGTAGTCATCCGACGGGTGACCTGTGAACAATAATTGCAATTGCTTTACTAAACTATGTATATTTTTTTAAAAAAAAACTTTTCAAACCCGGATTTTATATTAAACTAAGGGTGTTCTCAAGCACCCACTCGATGGATCGGAGGTAAATTTTAAATGTTCTGAGATACAACCCATTCAAAAATTTACTATTAATAAAAGATGCTCAAGAATTACTATTACATTTTTTACATATCAAGCATAATAAACCCTGTTACAAAAAAAATTACTATTATATTTTTAATGCTAGACTTTTAAAACAAACTATTACTTAGATACAGTATATACATGTATGCGTAATAACAGAGGACATCTATTTTGACTCATGAGTCCACCCGACGGGTTGCTTTTTTTTTAACCCACCCGGTTTTTCTGAATTTTTTGGGTAGTTACAGTACCACCCTTTCACGGTGGTACAGTAGTTTGTAACGACTGATATGTATCGATATAATCGACTTTATACGTACTACACAAAAATTCTATATCAGGCATACTGTAACTACCGCTACGCCGAACTTTAGATTTGGTAAAATTAAAATGCAGTGGAATGTAGTACAAATGTAAAAAAAACTATATTATTGATGAAATCTTGTATATGCACGAACGTTGTTTTTCGACCAAGATTTGTACAAACAAAAAATCATGGCAAACACACCAGAAGAATAGCTTGAAAAAGCTATTTCCGAAGGATTTATTAAAAATCTTGAGCATAATAAATTTACAGACCCGTATCCATTGGCAGCAAATATGAATGGAAAGATTGCAATTTAACGGTTGCTCTTAAATGTCTTAAAATCGATACCAATATAAATAAAGAAATTATTAAAGATTTTATTAAAAGAGGTATTTATTGTATTACTACTTGCATTATTTCTTAGTGTATACTGAATTTCTACATCTCTATAATCAAAATATGAAAGCTTAAGCTATTATTAAGAGTCAGTAACTATCCTAATATTATTAAATTCTATGGAGTTGCGAAAGGTATATATATATGCAATTTACAAGTTCTGAATTTGTATAATATAACGATTACAACATTATTACGATATGCAAATATATATAACTGATAAGAAAAAAAATTTTATTAAATTGTCACAAAGTACAATTTTAACATAAAGCCCATAAAACCTCACAACCCTAACCGCTAAATCCCAACTACCTAGACCTAATCAAAATCCCAATTACCCTAACCCTAAACCCTAATACGGAGCGCCACAACAATGCAACACAACAAATCACTTCACCAAGACAACAAAAAAAACAAAGCTAAAAACGATCTTAATTACACCTAGAAAAAAAAAAAGCGTTTAGTAACATGCTCACAATAGAACAAGAATAGAATCACACTTTCCAGAATTCCCAAGAAGCACCATAAACGAAGAACCGGACGCGACGATGCCCCAGTAACGATGGTAACGATGACACCAGAACGACGGCGAAATGCCGTTACGACAACACCAGTACTGCAGTAATGACACCAGGAACTACGACACCAGGAACTACGACACCAGGAACTACGATACCAGGATCGATGAAATTCTGTTACCTGAAAGAAAGAAAGAAAAAAATAAAATAAAAAAAAATAAATAAAAATAAATAAAAAAAAATAAATAAAAAAATAAAATAAAAATAAAAAAATAAAAATAAAAAAAAATAAATAAAAAAATAAAATAAAAAAATAAAAAAAAATAATATAAAAGCGAAAAAAAAAATCAAATGAAAAAAACTGATGATCATTATCGATCATCAATTGTTTATATCCATCGTTGATCTGTGAAACCGGCTATAATTAAATAGATAATAATGGATATTATAAAATATGCAAATGATGGAAATTTACGAGAATATTTAAAAGCAAATTTTGAAAGTTTGCAATGGCCAGAGAAATTACAAATAGCCAAGGAAGTGGTGCATGGCCTTTTGTACTTACATGATGACAATATTATTCATTGAGATCTTGTAAGTATATTATTTTTATATGCTTATGATTTTATTTACAGTCACTAAAATTCTAACGTATTTCTGACATACAGTATTCCGTAGCATTCCAAAAATATATTAATTCATCAAAAACAGCCGAAGATTGCTGGACTTTCAAAACAGATAAACGAAACGTCAAACTCGATCGCTGGCGGAATGCCGGCATATACCGAACCTAAATATCTTATCAATCATAGCTACAAACGTGATAAGAGATCTGACGTCTATAGTTTTGGTGCAGTCCTTTTGGAAATTTCAAGCGGAAGACAACCATTTCCAACCTTCAAATCCAAAGAATCACTCGCTATTCACATACACGAAGGAAATAGAGAAGAACCGGTAAAAGGTACACCACCTGTATATATTAAACTTTGCAAAAGATGTTGGGATAAGGAACCTGCAAATCGTCCAGAAACAAAAGAAATTCTCGATACGTTGAAACAACTTATTCTTAACGAAACCTTGAGTCAATATAGCTCTATAGAAATATTATCTGGGAATAGCGAAATTCTCTCAAGCGGCCAAGACAATATAAACACATTCAAAAATTCACTTGAAATTACGACTTCATCTCCACTTTGTTTACCTGACATGATAAATTCGAATACTTCAGAGCAGGATAATAGTATTCTCGAATGAGAAAGGAAGTACGAGAATGTTTCAACCAACGTAAATTCTCAAAGCATTAGAACTTTTTGAGGAAATACTCAAAAACAACCATCATAGTCCTGAAGGTCAAAAAAGCGCTTCAACTTGGGAGCTTTCTTACAATAAATGTGGATTGAAATATTTGAACGAGTTAACAACAAGAACTCCTCCTTAAAATCTTTAAATATCGGTTATAATGAACTTGGATCCGAAGGACACCTCCTTAGAAGCGTTAAATCTCAATTATAATATACTTGGATCAAAAGGGGGAAAGCATTAGCTGATGCACTTTGTAAGAACACCTCATTAACAACGTTAGATCTCCGTGGTAATAATCTTGGATCAGAAGGAGGAAATGCATTAGCTGATGCACTTTGTGAAAGCTTTACATTGAAATATTTAGATATTCGATATACTGATAATAGTTTTAAATCGAAATTAACCAATTCTGATATTAAAATAGTTCAAACATTATACAGTACCGTTAAAACAAATGTAAATGTATCAATAGTATAAATAAATTTAAATAAATTAATTTAGTTTAAATGTGTGTGTGAGAGAAAGAGAGAGAGAGAGAATGAGAGAGAGAATGACTATTTTATATTTAATTATTAAATATTATGATTAATATCTAATTCTTTATTATGTTAAAATTCTGTTAGGCGTAATGACCTTTACGGTCTTGACATAATTTTAATAAGCAAACTTATCTTTTTACGAAGCGCAAATACCCGACAAAATATAATGCGACCAATAAGACCTCTCCAAATATCTAATCATGTGCTATAGAATTGTCCTAATGAAATTACAGCTTAAGCCGTAACTAGCTAAAGGTAGCCATATTTATCTTCCAGCTAATTTGTGAAATGCAAAAGGATCTATAAATTGCCATTAGTGAAATAGCTGTCGACGAAATGGAATGTCAGAAGTGAAATGTCAATGAAGTGAGTTGTCAATGTCAATGAAATGGGCTATCGCTGAATTGCTGTCGATGAAACTGGTGTCGGTGAATAGTTGTCGGCGAAGTTTACCGAATCCAATATTTTAATACCCTTTAGCCAATCAGAATTTATCACCAAACAAAATCAAAATATAATTGATTAATCGTAGCTATATATTAAAGTCAAAAATTTTACTAAGTCAATTAATATTTATATCTTAAGTAAACTTGTCCGAAATATTAAATTGCATATATTCTGGAATTTTCATGTAAACTTTTATTAATTCATTTTCGCACTTTACATTTATACGAAAATTAATAGAAAGGTTTTAAATTTATAAATAGTAAGAGACTTAGGGTGTTCTCAAGCGTCAATCTAGATGTGATTAGCAAGTGATCGCAATGGTACTCAAGCAAAATTATATTTGCATAAAATTTTTATTGAGAATTCGAATATGTAATCTATGACGTAATTGAAATCTTCTCAAGCATCATCTTCGATGTGATTAATTAGTGATCGTAATGATGCTCATTTAATAGAATCAATTGAAATAAACATTGCAATCAGTATTTTAAGTATTTGAACGGTTCTTTTATTATTCATCAAAAATAAAAATAAAAAATAAAAAAAATGAAAAATAAAATAAAAAAACAAAACCAACGGTTAAACAAGAAGCAAATACCGTGAATTATCGAAAATATTCTGGCGAAGCATCAACTTCAGCAGCTCCATTTACCGACTTCACCAATCATAATATGTTATTCCAACAACAATATCCCGCCTCTCCATTTCTTATGAATCCATTAGTTGCAAATAAAGCTGCTATTGAATACAAAGAGGTGTTATTCGCATATTTATTTAGAAACATA